ACACCAGCTATCTCATTTGAAATTGTGCTAAACTCTGGTTATGCTAGTGTGTTAACGTGTTAACACTACCTATGTTTCTAGTGTAGACATGGCCCAAGTTTCTTCACTGACACTGCTTAATCATCTCCAGTGTCAGATGTCTCAGACCTGTTGCCCTGAAAAGTGCCATCACACAGCTCACTTTCTGGTGTTACCAATACCTTTAATGTCTGATGCTATCAAGAAATTTCCAAAATTGGCTTGGTGTTTTCTGTCTGGGTCAACGTGATGTCGGGGTCAGGTATTATAATCCATCCTTGATGTTAATCCTGTTTGATTTTTGTACCATATACCTCTGTTTCTCCAGGTTTAACTAACTGCTGCTGTGTGTACTGATTAAGATGTGCTGGCCCTTTAATGTGAATTATCTTAAAGACACCACACGGAAGCATGGCTGCTGGAGGCATCTTGGCATGGGCTCAGGATGGCAGACAGCTGACTTCTGTGCACGTCCAGAGGTGTCTGGCCCTCCCCGTGTGAGCACCTGGCTGGAAATTCCCCTTGCAGAGGGGTTTGGCATGTTGTCTCTGTGTGGTGAGCAAGGCACCAGAAACACCACCACTTTGCACTGGTAGCGTGTTTCCAGCAGCATGTCTGCTTTGAGCTCTAAGCCTGCTGCCAGGGAAAGGTTTCAAGATCCTTCCTTAATCCCCCAGTCCTGTTCTAAGATCTCTCTATGATCCTTGCAGCTTCTCGGGGCTGCATTTTCTGTCTTGTTTTCTCCATCCAGCAGCCTTTGTGTGATTTTCTGGGTCAGCTGTGTTACACTCTGGTGACTAAGACAAGAGTCTAAAGTTCCTGATGTTGGAGAAGAGACAGGGCTCTGGTGTTGTAAACACAAAGCGGGTTCTTCATTGTGGCTGGTGGACAGACACAGACTCTACCACTCTCTGGCTTGCACTGGGGAGTGAAACGTATGCTACACGGCTATCACCCAGGGACTGTCTAGCGCCTCGGCCCTGGAAGAGCAGTCATTGAGCCCACAGACGTTGATAGCTTTAGCCTCAGGACCCCCAGCAGGCAGGATAGAATTAGCCTCCCTGTACAGAGAGGAACTGAGACAGGCAATGTTACATGGTTTGCGTGAGGTCACACGGGGAATCTGTGGCTGAGCTAGGAACTGAAGCCGGATGTGAGTCACATGCCGTGAAGCCTGCCTTAGAGGACCTGCAAGGTCTGTTATCTGCATCCTCACTCAAAACTGCCAGGAGTCTGAAGGGGGCTTTAAAGTGGTTGCTTAAGGGGTGTGCATGTTGGAGCGCTACCTAATGAGCATGCTTCCTGCTGCAAGTCTCCCTGCCTGGAGAGCTGCGTCTAGAACCGGACTGGCTGGTGCTGAAGTGCTGGCCTTGTGGTGGGAGTTTGATGTGACTAGCTGAAGGGGAGAGAAGCTTGCAGTCCTGGCTTTGCACGGCCTTCTGCTTGCTGCTCACAGTGGGGCTGGCTCCAGCTGTATGTGGCTCTGAGCCTGGGAGGAGATTCATGGCTAGTGACATCGCTGTGCTCAGGAGGAGGACACTGTAATTACTTCCCATGGTGAGACTAATGAGTGCCTGGCTCCTTCCTTTCCCACATCAGTCTCTGTTCACAGGCTGTCCGCCTGAGGCTTGTGCAGTGACCAGCAGGCCAAGCCTCTCGCCTTGTGTTGGGCTCGATAAAAGATGCAGAATGAAAAGCCCTGTCGCTGGGAGATAAGACACAGGTGTTAGGTGAATTCAGGGATTGATTTGTCTCCAGCGCTGGCCCACTTCTCAGCTCTGTTCCAAGTCTTCCCAGGACCTGGCTGCCAATCGCCTTGCTGGAGGGAGGGGTTGTACTCTCTCTCCTTTGCCTTTGTGGGTTTTTCTCTTTCTCTCTCTCTCTCTCTCTTCCCCCTAATCTAAAGCTGCTGCCCCTCCTGGTTTCCCTTTTCTCCGGACGGCTGATAAATAAGGCTTCATTGGTTCCAGTACAGAGTGAAATATGAAATCCCATAAAGCCACCTCGCTTATTAGATGGGTCTCAGCGAACTGCTTATTATGCACTGTGGCATAACGCAGATTACAAATGTGCCCAAACGATAATTAGCAGAGCTGGAACTGTAATTAAACATGCCTGTGCTGCACTATGGTTTCTGTTGCAAAGTGGAAGGAAGCTGAACGGTTTCAAAACCCACAGGTGCCCTTCCTTTCCTCTGCCACACAAACAAGCGATCAGCCACTGCTCCCAGCGCAGACTAGCAAATGACACTCCGGGCTGAATGCTTCCCCACCTGACGCTCCATTTCTGCTAGTCCTGCGCTGTCAGCCAAGTTGTGTCAATTGCACATGGTTCCTCTCCAGCTATTTCACTGCAGGGGACTGGCGTTAATTTGTAAATGGATGGGAGTTGGAGGCAGTCTCTTTGCTTGTGCTAGGGGCTCAGGGAGAGGGGTTTTCTGGAGCTGTTTGCTTTCTTGGTCCCTAGCGATTCCCAGGGACTCGTTGTTTATGTGGGATTTGCTGAGGTGCCGAGTGAAGGCCCCCCCCCTGCACATGTGGCTCCGATCTGCCCCAGTGAGGATCAGCGCCCCCTCTTGGGCAGAGGAACTATGTGGAAGGCAAAATTCTTTCATCTCCGATCCTTCAGGGAGAACAGGCCCATGGGCAGCGCCAGAAGGGGCTTGGACAGCACAAGTGCGGGGTGTGGCAGTCTCTCCAAAGGGTTGCCTCAGAAATGAAGGCCAAGGACCTGGATCCTGAGGGATTTGGTGCTGTCAGGAGAAGCCCTCTGCCGCTGAGTGGGGGGAGACTGTAGCTCAGTCACTGCGGAGGAAACCTTGGGGCTGTCTTTAATGCTTATCACATTGGATTCGCTTTGTTGGGCTGTTCAGAGGAGATGGGGACAAGGAGCTAACTGCAGGCCACCGGCGCTTTGCCCTGTCTGCTTTAGTAACATGGGCAATGACAAATCCATCCACCCAGCTTCTCCTGCCAGCATGTGGTGAACTACTACATTTTACCCCGGTGCTGCCCACTGCCTTAGAACACCCCTTTGCCTCCTGCTCCTCCAGCATCGGTGGCACGAAGCTTGGCCCCCTCCCCTGTTCAGCCTGGGGACACCTGCTCCTGAGAATTCAAGGGGGCTTTGCAGAGTGCTTGTTGCTAATGGAGTTGCAAATGTCCCTGAGGTGGGACTTGGGTATGGGGAGATGCGGGAACTTAGGCCCCACAGCAGAAGTCATGTGGAGTGAGGCTGGGCCTGATATGGCAGCCGAGGTTCAGTGTGTGGTCTTGTACTCCAGCTAACAGTTTCATAAAAAGGCAGGCTTAGCAAACGTCTCTCTCTCTGTGACAACAGGCAGCTAAGGATAATGTTTTGGCAGCTGTTCAGGGACCAGAATTTGTCTCAATGGGAGTCTGAACATTTTGTGGCTGTTGACAGTTGAGTGCCACAAATAGCGATGACTTTATGGTTGGTAATGCCGGGAGGGCCGTCCCCAGCAGGCAGGGCACCTCCTGGCAAGCAGCTTGGAGACCTCTTCTTCCTGCCTCTCTGGGGCTGAGGACAGAGGGAACTGCCAAGCTTCCCATGGTTCTAGCTCCAGGGCTGTGCCAAGCAGCAGGCTTGCAGAGGCATCTCCTGGCTAGTGCACTGCTGGATGCTGTGAAGGTCTGTCCCAACTCCCGGAGTGGCTGCGTTGCAGTTTGCGAGCTTGCTGGTGACTTGCACGGGAGTGGTTTCCTTAGTGTCTGCTGCTGCTTTGAGCTGCTCAGCATCTTATCAAGATCAGAAACCCTACCCCAGGGGAGGAGGTCAGAGCACAGCCCAGCCAGCCAGCATGGGTAGTGCTGCAAATCCCCATTGCAAGGGTACGGTTGGAGGGCTGATTGAGTGTGGGTGGGAAGGCTGTTTTAGCTGGTGGGAGGTGAGAAAATGAGCTACACTGTCTGGGCACTGGAGACACAGGCTATATACCGAAGCATTCCTTTGGCTGGCAGTCTGGACAGGGCTCTGAAATGAATCAGCCCTTTGACTTTTCTCCTCTGTCACACGGTGCTGGACCACGGAGCGTCAGCTGGGGTGACTTTTAACCTGCTCAGCCATCTGAGCAGACTGCTTGCATAGCCGAGAGGCTGTGAGCCTGGTTTACTGAGCTGGGGGGTTGGGGTGGAAAGGGCCACAGGGTTTGTCTGTGCTCCACCCAGTTCAGCTGAGTTCTCTGCTTTCCATGCAGACCTACCCCAGCTCTGGCACTGAGGAAGTGACTTTCATGTGCGAGAGAAGCAAGATGGCTGGGTTTCCTCTTCAACATGAGAAACCCCCTGGGTCATCCCAGCAGGGCTCTGGTGCATGGAAAGCAGAGGTGTAGGGGTTAGTCTATAAACAGACAGGGAGGTTGCTGGGGGTCAATCTGGCCTGGGGTAGAGCTGGGGAGAGGCCATTGGGATGGAACAGGTATCTGAAGGCTGCCAGCTGCCTCTCCTGCCTTGCCCCAGCCAGCCTGGCAGAATTCTGTGATTCCTTCCGTCAGATCCAGGGCTGCTTTTCCGGGTGTTGACGTTCAGGCAATAGCCAAACCAGATCAGTCGCCAGGCAGAGTGACTGACTGGTTACGGGAGACTGGGAGTCCTGTGCTGGAAAGACTTTTCATCATTGAAAGCAGCCCAGCCAGAGGCTCTCCGGCAGGGCTGAGGTCCAGCAGGTCTCCAGCTGAGGAACATGGGTGGGGCCTAGACTCTGTTTGTAAAATGCTGTCCTTGCAGTGAGCCGTAGTTTATAGGCATACATATCAGGGCTGGAAAAGACCTATTAAGTCCTAGTCCTGTGATGGAGGATGGATGGGCTGTGAACCTGCTCCGAGCAAATAGGCCAAATGGGAGAGTGGCAGGAGGGGGCGCCCTGATTTGTGTTCTCCTGGAAAGCAGGACAGCCTTGCTGGTGTTTGCTTTCTCCTTGGTGCTCTCCCCAGTGGTCACTGGTGTATTTCTCCTTCCCCGCAGATGGAGTCTCCAGTCTCCACGCCTGCAGTGTTGCCCTTGCATCTCCTGGTCCCAGTTGTCAATAATGACATCTCATCGCCATGCGAGCAGATCATGGTACGCACTCGCTCTGTGGGGGTGAACACCTGCGATGTGGCATTGGCTACCGAGCCAGAGTGTCTGGGTCCTTGTGAACCTGGCACCAGCGTCAACCTGGAGGGCATCGTCTGGCAGGAGACGGAAGATGGTAAGTGCCTTTGGAGAGCTTGTCTTTCCTCTTCCACAGTTGGATTGTTGTTTGTCATACCGTTGTGTTTATTGCCAGGTGCGCACACACTGCTGCATCCCCAGCACTACCCTTCCAGGCTTAGGAGGGGTGGGGTATTCTTGGAGGACTGTAGCTGGGATGGGAGGAGTTCAGAGGGCATGTCTCAAGGGTCACTTCAGAGTGTCAATCTATACAGCAAATCCAGTAACAGTAACAAGTGTGTTCCCTTAGCCCATAGCCCAGACAGGTAATAGAAACACCCAGCGCCCAGTTGTGCCGTTGTCAGATGAATTAAAGCAGATAAAGAAGGGAGCGCACCAGGCTGCCTCCCTCTTCCAAACTGAGCTTTGTTCATGTTCCTGAATCTCTCCCAAGGGCACATGTAACCAGCGAGGCAGCAGGAGGCTCTTGCTGAGTAACTGATCCAGTCAAGCTCTCACAACAGGCCCTAGAGGAGATCAGGGTTCCAGGCCAAAGGAGCCTTTTTCTGCTGGGCGCTGATCTGGTCTTGTGCACAAGGCCTGGCTTTGTGTTCCCAGTTCATGAGAGTTGATGAGGTTTAGCTGCTGTTGGACCCCTGCCAGCACCTCTGTCCCAGGTTATTTAGAGAGCTCAGAGCACAGATCTCTCCAGGTATGAGAGGCACAAACCTGTGCTCGTCCCTGAAGTTGAGACCAGTTGTCGTCATGAGCTCTCTCCACAGCACCATGTGCCTCTTTAACTGCCTCTGTAGGAGTGTGTAAATCTGGAGGCCGCGTGGTGAGCACAGACCAGAGCCGTGTGTGTGCGGCATCCTGGTAGTGCTGTGGGTGAGTTCAGCTTCCCCGCAGCTGCCATTGTTTAATGGGGCAAGGGAGGGTGCTCCAAAGGCAATGCAGAGGTGCTTAGAGAGGAGAGCCATTGGCGAGCCAAGGGAGTGGGCTTGGGCAAGCAGACCTTGCGAGACCCAGGGTGTGCATTCTCCTCAGGCCAGGTGCCAGGCTGGCTGAGTGATGGGATCGGCACCACCTTTTCTTTATGGTCTATTCCTAGTCTAGAATTACTACCTGTGTGCACAGGAGCCAGTCCTAAGGTACCTGCCCTTTTCCTGACTCCCTCTGAATTGGCTGTGTGCAGTGCTGGGGATTACTTTTCCGGGGTCAGTGTATTGAAAAGATCTGGAAGCAGATAGCCCACTGCTGTGTTTCCCTTGCATTTGCTTGGCTCAGGACATTCTGGATTTGCCTTTTTGAAAGTGGCCTTGTAGCTCATGAAATACAGGAGCTATTCGTGTGAACACCCACAAAATGAACGTTGGGCGAATGTCACACAACTAGTTACTGAAGGAAGCACCAGAATGTGGCTCCTTGTTGGAAACTCCTCAGGCTTCAAAATTGGGTTGGAGAGTACAGAAGACCATCCTTCCCTATGAGACTCCAACTGCCTCCTGCTTCCCGGGAGGCTGGAGGTACCTTGAGAATATCCTTTCATGTGGCACATCTGGTCCCAGCTGGAACTGGGACGTGGGAACAGAACCCAGAGGGGGTGGTGGGAGCACTTAGTGACAATCAGACGCCTCAGAGAAGCTCATTCCTAGAAATGGACACCCCTGCGTCTGCTCCTCCCTTACTAATGTCTGTTGGGGACTGCGAGGGGCATAGGTAGTGCTCTTGTGATTGCTACTACAGAAACTCCCTTGGTTGGCTCAAATGACCATTACAGCTGAACTTAAACCTAAATCTCCATAGGCAGGGGTACGCTGCTGCAGTTCAGCCAGAGGTTGCTTGTTCCAGTGTTGCAGGCAGAGGTTACAAGCCACATCTACAGCTTGTGTGTAATTTTGCTGGAGTTCGTCGCTTTGTGTCAGTCTTCAGTACATAAAATGATACATGGGCAAAACCAGTTCTGTGCAGCCCTCAGTATCGTGTAAAGATCATGGACTGGGCCCAATTCCCCTACCATTTTTTTAATGTGTGATTGGCCCATGGCCAAATGGTGCAGCTACAACTGTGCAGCTTGTTAGTATGGAGCATATTCCCACTGGGATGAGAGCGAGACCCTAAGCAGTTGGGAGAGGGGGAGCTTTGTGGGGTGTCACCTTAGAGCCTGAGTCCCAGTGGGGTTTGGCCAGAGCGCTGAGGCAGGAAATCGTCTGTTCCGTGCCGCTCCATCCCCTCCATGGCTTTCTGCTCAGTTGTGTGGTTGGAAAGTTTCATCAGATTCGTGGCCAGCAAGGAATTGGAAGTGGCTTTCTCTGGTGCACCTGAGGAAGGAGGGAGTAACTATGTTGCAAAATTAAACCCCCGGGGGTTCCTCCTTTCTCAGCTAGTGTTGCTGGTGGGGAGGAGGAAGCAGATACAGACCTTGGGGCCTGGATTGTGGAAGTCAGTGTGTGCTGGTGGAAGTCTGTGCTTGCAGCTGTCAGTCTGTGGCATAGCTAAACTCACTGAGAGTGCGTGAGCCAGCCGTGCTGCTGGCTGCCCTTTCTACTCTGTGCTCCTAGGATTGGATTGGGGAGAACTGCGGGAAAACATAGGGCTTTATTCTGATGAGCCCTGCTTTTGGGGTAATTTTAAAGCACTAGTCTCTGTTGAGTGTCCAATCAGCTGCCTGCCAAGGTCTCACTCTGTGAAGCAGACTTGGCAAACAGCCTTCGCTTCCCTCCAGTCTACACCAGGAGTCTGTGAGCCACTGCCTAGTCCCCACGCGTGTACTCTGTCGCTTTGGTCCCACGTATCTATGCCGCAGTCATTGCCTCACATTTCAGAAAAGCCGCCTGTGCCTGCAAGGCCTGGAAGAAAAGCAGCTTGGCTGCACTGTGTGTAAGATCTCTTCCCTCTCACCTACCCCAAACTTATTTCCTGTCTGCCTATAGGATCATGATCCTCCCGCTAGAGTCCCAGTGTCAGGCTCTTCGTTCCTATTAGGGATGTAAAAGGTTAAATGGTTAACCGGTTAACTGGTAAGCATTAGGCTTACCGTTAACCAACCTTAACCGTTAACCCCAGCGGCCCCGTGCCAGCCGGAGGAGCCCCAGCCCCCGCCGCACCAGGCCAGCTGGAAGGACCTTGGTTAACGGTTAACCAGTTAAACGATATAATTTTGATAATTTAACCAGTTAACTTTTTTTTTTTTACCGATATTTACATTCCTAGTTCCTATAGAGGAGCAGGCGTCTTGTGCTAGCCCTATTGTCAGCCTCTCACTCGAGATGGACTCTTCATTCAGATCAGGGCCAAGCAGGGCTTGACAAACCCACTCACCAGTGGTAAGTAGTAATCTCTTTCCTGGTGGGTGAGAGGGAATTGGGGGAAGCCAAGGCCATCGATTTCTGCCAAGTGTAAGCTTTCATAGAAAAGAGAAAAATTTGGGATACTAGTAAAGAAAACCATTCCAGTGTGTCCTGATGCAGTGAGTTCCTGAGTCTGCCGATAGCCCCGGTGCCTCTGCTGCTTCTCAAAGCTTTCCCCAGGCTACAGCAGCATGAAGCTGACAAGACTGGTTAGTTCACTGCTTTTGAGAGCCCTGGGAGCAACCATGAAACTGACAAATTGGATCTCCCACTCTTGTGTCAGGAAAGCCGTGAGCAGAGGCAGCGCTGGAGCTATTCATAGGGGAGGGGAACATAAAAAGAGTCTGGAAGCAGGGTTGAGTAGGGAGACCACCAACTTCACAGCAGCAGCCAGGAGGTTGAGGGAGATTAACCCACCCTGCCCCATGAATAGTCAAGAGGCTCTGGGGTGGAGAAGGAACAGATGAAAGCTCCTGAGTTCTTCCAGGATTCAGAGGAGGGGAAGGCCTGATTGCTACCCACAGCTCTCAGAGGCTACGTCTTCACTACCCGCCGATCCGGCGGGTAGCAATCGGTTTATCGGGGATCGACTTACCGCGTCTCGTGAGGACGCGGTAAAATCGATCCCTGATGGCTCTACCGTCGACTCCGGAAATCCACCTCGACAAGAGGCGGTAGCGGAGTCGGCGGCAGCGCGGCAGCGGTCGACTTTCCCGCGTCCTCACCGCCAGGTAAGCCGACCTAAAATACGCAACTTCAGCTACGGTATTCACGTAGCTGAAGTTGCGTATCTTAGGTCGGAAGTCCGCTGTAGTGTAGACCTAGCCAGAGAAAGCTGCTGCAGCAGGCTGCCTGCTCCATACAGGTGGCCACTTTCTACTGCCCTAATTTCCAGTCCTCTCTGATTCAGGCTTAAACAACTCCTTTAGCCTCAGTGCCTGGTATTTCTTTTTCACTCCCCCTCTGTTCCATGCCTCTCCAGTCTGTGCAGTTCTGCAGCCTGTCTGCCTGTCCTTCCACATTATCCCTTTTTTTGGCAACTATTGTTTCAGATTTTGCCTTGGAGGCATTCTGCAATTCCTGCTGCTTGGCTATTTTTAGTCTGCAGTAATTCAATGAACTCTGCAAAGATTCTTCTCAGCCTGGCTCCTGCCGTCAGGAGCGATGGCTTTGCTACGGGGGCTGTGTACCTGGTATTCAGGGCTCAAGTCCTGTTGTCTCCGCTGGCCAGTCCCAGTCTTCAGTGCAGTGCTCCCGTCGTGTGTGTAGCTAGCAGACTTCATATAGAGAAGAACTGACTAGAACCTCTTTGGATGAAGCTCTCCCTAAGAACACACCCACTCCACTTCTGTCCCCTTGCCTCTGCCCACAGTGAAAGGGTGCATGGGCTCTGCTGTACTGCTGTAGGATTATGGCACACGCCTTGCTTACATGATATGTGAGGCTAGGGCTTGCAAAATGCCCCGGATGCATCTCGAGTGACTGTTCCGTGACCCCAGATGTCCCCAATGGTTAGAGGGAGCTCTTGCTCCCCTGCTGGTGGGTTGGGCAGCACCTCTCTCTCTCTTCCCCTTTTTATTTGCTTGATTAATTTTTCTCCGCCTCCCGCCTCCGCTCTGCGTTTGGTGTCTCTTCTTTAGTCCATCAGTGCTGATGCTGCCCCTAGCCCTGCCCAAGTGGAACTCTCCCGCATTGACAGTTTCACTTT